GAAGCCTGCAACCCACCACAATAAGATACAACTACATATCCACCAGAATGGATGCGTTGCAAAAGAATGGAACATGCCAAGTGTTGGCCAGAATGGGGAGCAAGTGAAATCCTCTGTAGCAATTCAGAATTAGTCTTCTCAAGATGTGCCTCTGTGACACGAATTATTTTGAGCTAAACCTTCAGGCTGAAGAGAAACTCCTGCCCGTCCCCTCTTCTTTAACTACTTGGAAGAATTTAAATTAAGGACCTTGTCCATAATAAGAGTTACTACCAGAAATAACTTTTCATGAACTATTTATAGGGCAGGGCAAACATCTAATTACTGGACGTTTGCTCTTCTGCAAATTACCTCATTTTAATTATTCAACCAGTCAAAAGAACCAGAGGAGGGAAGGGGGACACTTCTCCCTCCCAGCACCTCATATATTGTGATAAGAGTATAAATGTACACATCTACTGGGCAAAACTTTCTGACTACATCTACTAAAGCTGAACACATGCATACCCCATGACTCAGAACTTCTTCGTTTAGGTATAGACCCAACAAATGTGCACACATGCTCACAGAGGACAGCAGCTGGGTTCCCAAGACTCCAACACTGGAAACTATCCAAATGCCCATCAACAGTGGAACAGATGCATGTATGTGGTGGAGTGCTACCCTGGAACACTATCCAACAGTGACAAGTACCCAACAGCTACATGCAAGAATACACCCAAATTTCACAAGCATAGTGCCGAGCAAAAAAGAACCAGAGAGGAAAAGACTACATGTTGTGTGTGTTCATTTATATGAAATGCAAAAACAGGCAAAACTCATTGGTTCTGTAGAAGTCAGGATATGGCTGCCCACGGAGCAGGGAGGTAATGTCCGGAAGGAAGTAAGAAGGGGGCTCCTGAGCACAGGTACCCTTCTCTTTCAGGTGGGATGGCCAGTTTTGACTATTTATCAAGTTTATGATACGTGTGTTTTTATGCACGTATGTTATATTTCAATAAGATATTTTGAAAAATATTCCTCTCCTTCTGATTGCTTAATGGAAAAAAATCTCAGCTGGGCTCTGGCCTGCCTAATGCGTCCCTTAGACTGGCTCATCTTTTGTTAACCAGGCAGAGTGCACAGGCTCAGAGGCCTCAGTAAACAACAGTATGCAGCTCGAACTGAATGACTTCTGTCTCCTTGTGTTTATTTTTGTGGTTGCTATCTATATATGGCCATTAATACAGCATTTCCATTTATGGTAGTGATATAAAGTTTATTTTTAAAATAGCTTTAAGTAAAAACGAAAAAAAGTGAATTGACTTACATTAAAAATAGTATGTAAATAATAATACAAGTAGTTCTTAGTCACAGTAAACCTTGAAAGGGTGGAGTTGGTGAAATACTTTTCAAATGGGAAAAGGCAGGGGTTAGGGGGAGGGGAGAAAACCAGTTTCAGCCTGTCCCCATCTCTCAACAAGTCCTCACTGCACAGCACAGACAGACTCAGGCCTAAGGACTTACCAGTACATATCCCTTGCAGAGGACTCATGAGGAATGCAGAGCAAGGGATGCTCCAGGAACAGTGGGCAAAGCAGGGACTAGGAGTGGACGACCTGGTTCACTCAGCAAGTATTTACAGAGCCTCTGGGTTCCAGGCACTGTCCTCGGCCAGCCTATGTAACCTGGCTCGGGGCCTTGGCTAAGCCCCTCTGCTTCTCTAAGCTTCAGCTGATGAAGGAGGTTCTGTGATTGATGCCTTTCTGGAGTAGAGCTCTGAACCTCATGGTGGTTAGAAAGGGACTTAAAAAGACGGGGCTGTTGTTGTTGGTGGTGGTGTGACTATTAATCAGAGAACTAGGAGAAAAGAATTGGAGAGTAGTCTTCAGACTCATTGGCAAGAGAAAGCTCATTGAAACTTTGCATCGGCCTAATTAGCCTCACTTCGCCTGCTCACCTCCAGGGTTCTTTCTTGGCTAGGAGATTGAGAAATTTTTTCAGAGGTGGAAGGAGAGTAGCCAAATGAACAAATAAGTGCCTCTCCTGTCCTCTCAATACATCCATCGCAATCTTTCATCCCCAGCTGCTGGGCATTGCAATGGAGATTGAGAATGAAGAGCCCTGCCAGGAGTATTTTTAGAGATGGTATCACTCACCACATTTAGTGAGTGTGGACTAGGTGCCAGGCACTATATTTTAGATCCATGCCCCATCCAACATGGTAGTCTCTCCTCATGTGGCCATTGAGAATTTGAACTTTGGCTAGTTCAAATTGAAATGTGTTGTAAGCACAAAATACACATCAGAGCTTGAGGATTTAGTATATTTTTAAAAAAGGGGAATGTTAAATCTCTCGGTAATAATTTTTAATATTGATTCCACATTGAAATGATAATAATTTGCATATATTGGGTTGAATAAAGTATATTATTAAAATGGGTTCCATCTATTTCTTTTTCACTATATTTTAACGTGTGGTTTGCATTAGATTTCCATTGAAGAGTCATGCTAGACACTGTCCTACTTTGAAGGTGCTCAGACTCCAAGCATGAGAGCAACAGAAACAAATGTTACCAGGCAGGCACAAGATGCCAGGGTACACCAAGGAGGCGTGGCCAACAACCTCCCCATGCGTGTCACTTTTTAAAAAAATTTTTTTAAATAATATATTTTATTGATTTTTTACAGAGAGGAAGGGAGAGGAATAGAGAGTTAGAAACATCAGTGAGGAACATTGATCAGCTGCCTCCTGCACACTCCCCACTGGGGATGTGCCCACAACCAAGGTACATGCCCTTGACCGGAATCGAACCTGGGACCCTTCAGTCTGCAGGCTGACTCTCTATCCACTGAACCAAACTGGTTAGGGCTACCTGGCACTTTTTACTGCTGTCAGATCTGGACACCATTCTAGTGATTTCTAGAAGTCCAGCTCTGTCTATTTCACTCCTTTACTCACACATGGACAATTGTACCCCTCTGCCCACCAAATGAAGCCAAACCTCCACACAAGTCAACTGGATTCGGCTTCCTTTTTCCAACCTCACTTTCCCATTTCCATGTCCTGGCTTTGGCCGATCTCCCTGTTCTGGGTGCCCTTGCTATCCCTACATTTCTCCTGGTAGACTTGCAAGCTTCAATTTCATATCTGATGTACCCATGAAATCCCCATCACGTCTCCATCTAAACATTTCTCCTCCGCAAAGCCTCTGACAACCAGTGATTTGTTTATCTTACCAAAGTCTCTCCCATAACATGGTTAGTTTCTTAAGATCAGGAACTTGCCTTGCTGAGCACCTACCTCATCATCAGGGCCAGATGGCCGCTTGGTAAATAGCTGTTGAGTTGCATCAAATGGCTCTGAGTCCTAAAGTTAGAAAGAGCTGGAGTGGAGGGCTCCGGTGGGGGGAAGTGTGGCACAGAAGTACAGTAACTCACTGCTTAACAACAGGGATGCGCTCTGAAGAATGTGTCATTAGGTGATTTCTTCATTGTGGGAGCACCATGGAGTGCACTTAACCTATTACTCCAGGCTACAAACGTGTAAGGCATGTCACTGTATACGGCAACGCGAGATATAACCAAGCACAAGAGAAAATAATGCAATCAAGATACTCAAACCCACCAGTGCGGCTCAGTGTTTGAGTGTCGACCTATGGACCTGGAGGTCACGATTTGATTCCTGGTCAGGGCACATGCCAGGGTTGCGGGGCTCGATTCCTAGTGTGGGGTGTGCAGAAGGCAGCTGGTCGATTCTCTCTCATCATTGATGTTTTTATCTCTCTCTCCCTTCCTCTCTGAAGTCAATAAAAATATATAAAAACTATTTAAAAATAATAGTATATAGTATTATATACTGTGCAGAATTGTACCTACTATACTTTTGTACAATTGGCAGCACAGGTTTGTTTATATAAGAATCACGACAAACACATGAGTAACGTGTTGGGCAAGGACATTACAGTGGCTGTGACCTCACTGAGCGATAAGCATGTTTCAGCTCCTTCATAATCTTATGGAACCACCTTTGTACATGCAGTCTCTTGTTGACAGTACCATCCTGTGGTGCACGACTGTACTGAGAAATTAAATCTGGCTGGGGGCAGCTTAATGGTCCATCCCGTACCAAGAGAGTCTGTCAGATAAGGATCTCTGTTAGGGTCAGAGCCCTGGGAGATGGCAGGTCCAGCTGGAATGCTGGGGGGTGGGAGACAACTTGGACGGATGACTCAGTAAATCAAACAGAACACTGCGGGGAGGCCACCCTGCTCCGCCCTCTGCATTATTGGAGGTGGCTATAGATGACCGTACTCCAGGGTGTTCTCTCACACCCTCCCCAATACCCATGAAGCAGGGCATTCTGGGATCTCTCCTTCAGCAAATGCCTCCAGATCTGTGGGTAGGGCCCAGGTAACTAAGGGATCACTCCCCCTCCCCCCCCTCCCCAGGGGAGTGCAGAGTGGGCGAGGAAGGGAGCAGGTTTCTCAGTGTCCAGAACTTACATCTTACTAGGTGCTCACAGGGTTGGGGAACTGCCATGGTCACTAAGGGGGACTGTTAGGGGCTAAGGAGCTGATCTAGAGGATGCAAACCTCCTCCCGACTCAACACCAAAATCATTGTCCCAAGCACACATCAGCGGGTCAGTGAAAACCCAGGATAGAGGGAGTGAAATCTGTTTGAAGGTCAAGACCATGCCTTTTGTCCTTTGCATTTCCCCAGCAGCCCAGTGCCGGCCACACGGGAAGCGTGCAAATTAACTCGCAAACTGAACCGAAAAAGAGACAAAAGCGCCCACTCTTCATTTCCGCGCCAATCCTACTGAAGCCCCCAAGGGTTTCTTACTCTCCGGGAGGCTGAGCCCAGGGTGGAAGGATGTGGTGGGACAGAGCGGACCTACAGAGCGGGACGAAATGGGGGTGGGCCCGCGCGCGCGCGAGCGTCGGGGGAAAGGGGGTGGTCTCCAGAAGGGGGAGGGGAGAAAGCAGGGGGCGGGGAGAAGCAGGGCCCTTTAGGACGCGGCTGCAGCGCCCCGGACAGAAGCCCAGGAGTCGGTTCCTGTGCTCACGCCCCGCCACCTGCCCGCTCTCTCGCCCCGTCGCGCTCCCCGTGGCCAACATGCTGCCGAAACTGGGTGGCCCCGCGCTGCCGCTGCTCCTGCTCCTGCCGCCGCTGCTGCTGGGCGCCGGCGCGCACGCCGAGGTGCTGTTCCGCTGCCCGCCCTGCTCGCCCGAGCGCCTGGCCGCCTGCAGGACCCCGTCGGCCGGGACCGGGCGTTCCTGCGTCGAGCTGGTCCGCGAGCCGGGCTGCGGCTGCTGCTCCGTGTGCGCCCGTCTGGAAGGCGAGACATGCGGCGTCTACACCCCGCGCTGCGCCCAGGGGCTGCGCTGCTATCCCCACCCCGGCTCCGAGCTGCCCCTGCAGGCGCTGGTCCAGGGCGCCGGCACTTGCGAGAAGGGCCGCGACTCCGAGGGCCCCGAGCAGGGTGCAGGTAACGCGGGGGAGGAGCACTAGTTGGGAGAAGCCAGGAGGGCAGCGTGGGGCCGGGCTGGTGGCTGCTCTGCAGGGCAGGACCTCAGAGACCGTGTTAGCGGAGGTAGAGCGGGGTCCTTGGCCAGCTTCGGGGAACTGGGGAGGGGGACCTGAAAGCCAAGCCCGCGAGGGGACTGGAGTTGGAGCGCAGGGAGGAGCCTGGCTAGTTATCTGTGGGGAGGAAAGGCACCCCTGTTATTAGTGGTTTCCCCGGGTGGAAGGTACCCTGACTTCTGTGAGGGGGGGGGGGTTACTGGGATGGAGGGGGTTGGTCAGATCCGTAGGAGTAGGGCCTGAGGGTTCTGGAAAGGTCCCGGTGGAAGGCGCTGCTGCGGGGTGGAGGTGGCGGGTGCCCGTGACACTGGGGACCTCACGTGAAAGAGGGGACCTCCCGTGAAAGAGGGGTGCAAGGAGAAGGCAGTGCAAGGAGAAGGCAGTGCGCGTGCAGGAACTCCTGCTACTGGAAGTGTGAGGTGGGAAGAAAGGACTTGTTGGTACTTGGCAAAGTGGGTTTCTTAGAGGTAAAAAAAAAAAACCCCGGATGCCGCTGTTTTCTCACATAAACAACGAAAAGGCTCTTACTACTGCTACGTTGGATGGAAAAATACAAGGGGGGTAGGCATTTGGGGGGCGAGGAAGAGACCTCAGCAGTTGAGTCACTGTAACTGAAGCCGGGTCGCCAGGTGCAGTCCTGGCTGGGCAGCCATGCTGCCGGGTGTAGCACCTGGGCCCCTACTTGGAAGCTGGAGGCTGCGTGCCTGGGCGGTGGGTGCAGCTACTCTAACCGGAGGGACGTGTATCCATCGCCCCCCTCCCCACCGCCCCTCATTCTAATTTGACAAAATTTCCTATCCGATAGAATGGGAACCCTGAGATTCTTTGTAAGGGGCCCTCATCCCCCCAAAATGTTTTTGAGGGACACAACCAAACTATAAGGACCTCATTTGTTTTTTGTATGTTTTTAACATTACAAAAGCCTCCTGCCACAGTGGTCTGGAGGAAGCCGTAATTATTTTCTTTCCTCTTGGAGACAGTGGTAAAGTGTGTCCACTGTCTGTTGTTTAAAAAGCCAGGGAGTCTGACCAAGTTTCTGAAACTTGAAAAAAGAAAAAAAGAAAAGAAAAGAAAAAGTGAAAACATTCTTGCTTCGGAGTTTCTGGTCATTGTACAACTGTTCCCCACCCCCACTCAGGCTCACACACACCCTCTCTCCCACCTCCCCCCACTGCCCCTCTAGCCTACTATTGTTTCCCCGTGTTGTCCTTGAGAATGGACTTAGGGGTCAGAGTTGAAATCTTTTCCTATTTCTCTGGCGCTTTTTGACCTTGAGTGCAGAGCAAGTGCGGGCTTCCTCCGAGCAGACTCCAAAGGAAACACCTCGGTCCCTTTCTTCTGCCCCTGGCTCACTTCCCTCCCAGCCTGCTCAGAGTGAGCCCTTCCATCCTGCTTCTCTTAGAAAGTAATACTAAAAGGAAAGAGACTTGGCGAAGCCCCTCTCACTGTGGGCGCCCATCCCTCAGTCCTGCGTTTCTCCCCCATCACCCCCTCGCACCTCGGGGTCCACTGGGGAGATACTGCGGTTTCTGACCTGACTCGGACAAACTGAACATCTTTCTCAGCAGGGCCAGCTTTGCAAAAGGCCTTCAAGCTTATAGAATCTTTTGGATTTTGACTGTTTTTAATAAAGTGCGTGGCACATGTCCTTCCTAAACGTTTTACTATTTTTCTTTCACGCTTCATACCTCTTACTCTCAGCCTGAAAGCCAGCTCTCCTGCTCCCCACCCTCCAGCAGCAGGTTAGGGTCTTCAGAAGGGAACAGATGCAGAGCCTCTCCTGTCCGGCCTCCCTGGAGCCTGGAGCCGGAAGGGGGAGTAGTCGGAGGAGCCGGGGGACAATGGGGTGAGTGAGTTCATGGGAAGAATGCCCCTCTGGATTTTCATCCTGGATATGGTACTCCTTCCCCCGACTAGCCCCAGCTGCCTCCTCAGCATGTGCTCCCGACTGGTAAGGGGACAGATGCCAGTGTGGGGGTAGAAGCCTAGTGGGCATATTGGGAAGAAGTGACAAGAGCAGGGTGCCTGAGGCCTGAGTAGGGCTGGGGGTGATGAGGGCACTGCGGGGAGAAGCCTGGGCCTGCAGGGTGTCAGGAGGAGAGAGGGGCACATTTTGAGGCTTCTGTGCTCAAGAGGGTCTTGGGCTGGGGCAGGAAGTGGGCACTGCATAGAGAGCGCTGGGGTCTGACTTGGGTGGGGCCGGTGACTGAGCTTGGCCCAGAAGAGACCTGAACGTTGAAGGCTGCAGCCTCCTACTCTCCCCGATCCTTTCTCCTCCCCCATCTGAAGAGTGAGCCTCCCCCTCCCCCACCCCAGCCTGCATTCCTCTTTTGAGCAGGTTGCTTTTGAGAATTTTAAACATACCCTCTCGGTTTTGAGGCAGCAAACCCCAGCAGTTCCGGCTTCATGCTTAGCTCTTTTGTCTTTGTTCCCAGGGCTCAGGGGCTGTGTCGCTGGCTTCCTGGGAGTGGGAGGGATGCAAGGGGTGGGAGAGGGGAGAGGCACTTCAGCGGGTGCTGAGCCTGCATCCCCTGGGGGTAATGGGCTGGGACTTGTTGAGTCAAAGAAACCAGAAGTCAGATTGGAGTATTGGAGTGGGTGATCTGGAAGAAAGATGAGAGAGAGGGACCGTGAGGTCTGTGTGAAGCCTGCACTTAAAGGTGTGGGGGGGTGGTTGGTGGTGGACTGGGCAGAAGTGCCTGCAAACGTTGGAGAAGAGGGTTTGTGCCAGGCCAGGTCCTTTCAGAATTCAAGGCCTCCCTCAGCAGCTCCCTGCCTCCTTCCCGACCCTGTACAATGCTGGGGATTATGCCCAGGGGCAGAGCCGCCCAAGTGGCTACATATAAAGGTGCTATAGAACTGAGCAGCCATTCACAGTCCTGGTCTAGGTGAGCAGGCAGGCCTGGGGGGGCGGGGGCGCCACACAGACTCTGCTTCTGCAGTTGCTAGGGGAGGAGAAAGGGGGCAGAGGCAGATACAGATTTACAGTGAGTGGTTCAGTGCAGTTCAAAAAAAGGGACAAAAGCAACGGGACTTCTGGTTCAAAGCACTGCTTTGCATCTTGTCTTGCATAAATTTGCATACTGAGTTCAACATGGTAAAATAAAATAGACTTAGGGAAGGAGTGAGACCCACTGTCACTGATTGCTAACACCACTATCTCCCCCTCCCGCCACCTCCCCCCACCCCCACCCCCCTTCTGGACAGGGCACGCAGAACTAACTCTGCTAAAGCTGCTCCCCCTGAGTCACCGCCCCATTGAGGGGAGATGGGGGAGTGAGGGGGCTATTCCTGGATCCCTTTTCTTGGTTATGGGGATCAAGCAGGGGTTGCTCTGTGCTCTCTGGCCTTGGAGGTGGGGCTGGCCTGGAGGCCGTGGTTTGATAGGTCCTGAACCTGCTAGTCTTGGTCTGCCAATTGTGCTAGGCAGTGGTTCTCAACCTTCCTAATGCCGCGACCCTTTAATACAGTTCCTCATGTTGTGGTGACCCCCAACCATAAAATTATTTTCGTTGCTACTTCATAACTATAATTTTGCTACTGTTATGAATCGTAATGTAAATATCTGATATGCAGGATGTATCTTCATTGTTACAAATTGAACACAAGTAAAGCCTAGTGATTAATCACAAAAACAATATGTAATTATATATGTGTTTTCCGATGGTCTTAGGCGACCCCTGTGAAAGGGTCATTCGACCCCCAAAGGGGTCGCGACCCACAGGTTGGCGACCCACAGGTTGAGAACGCTGCTCTAGACCCTTCTCCGTGCCTCTCCCAACTGGGACCTGGTCTAAGCCACCTGCCTGAACTTGAGAAAATGGCATGGAAAATATATTGGCCCAGCCTTTCTTGGGATCCAATTAGAGGGAGACCATGTAGGTGACTGGGGACTGGGATGTTTGAAACAAATCGAATCCTTACATGAGGTGGGTGGTTGGCTGGCAGTGCAGGGCCAGGCTTTGTGGGTGCAGGGAGTGACCATTTCCCCCCAAGAGGGTTAGGTCTAGGACTGCTTCTGCTGAAACCAAGCACAGAGGAGTGAGGTTAGTTATCCTTCCAGTCCACCAGGGGAGCTGGCGATCTGTTGGCAGATGCCCCGGGCCCCTCTGCTTCTTCTTGCTATTTCTGGCCAGCATTTTGCTGAGGTGGCAGGCAGCTGCCAGGAGATGGGTTATCCTCCCATCTGTTCTTATCTTGTTATAAACTGGCTTCTTTGCCTGCTTTGCCAACTTCTGTCTCTGGCATCCTTTTGAGGGAGGCTTTTTGCCTCCACTTCGTAGATGTGGGACTTGAGCTTCGTCAAGAGCACCTTAGCAGGTAAGTAATAGGATGAGAGATGAACCTGGCTGGATACCTTTCCTCTGACTAAGGGGAACTGTTGGCAAAAAAAAAAAAAAAAAAAAAAAAAAGCCTTTGACCCTGTCAGCTAAAAGGTTTCCTGGACACCTGCAGGTGCAGGTGAGTACGAGTCTCGCTTCATCACGGCAGGTTCAGGTTCAGTTATTTGCATGCCCTTGCCTCCTTCACCTGGCCCGAATCCTGGAGCTTGGGGACTTCAGAAATGGAAGTGGCCAGTGTGCAGCTGTCGGGAGAGAAAAAAGGGTCCAAGGTGGGCTCCTGAAGTGAAGAACTGGAGGGCAGGAGGGACCGAGAGAGATGAGGGTGGGAGCATCCTAGCCTGTGCAGGCCTGTCCCTGAGAACCCGAGTGGGGATGGGCGAGGGCCTTCCCCGTTGGTGAAATAGGCATGATTGCATGTCTTTCTTTCCATTTTAAAATCTATTTGAAACATTTACACTGAGGTATATTTGTAGTACTTGCTTACCCCATCTTTTTTTTTTCTTTCAATTACAGTTTATATTCAATATTATTTTGTGTTGGTTTCAGGTGTATAGTGGTTAGA